AGCGGAAGCGCTTCAGCAATGTTTACACTCTTGTTTTCGGAAGTCAGTTGCTAGTTCTGCCTTCTCGATGACATCGCGTGCGTCGTTAAAGATGGCACGCGATGAATGGTCGGGAAGCAACATGTAGTCTGACATGTTTCTTGTCCACGACAAGATTTTAGGAGTCAAAATCGTGTAATCTGACACAGTGACTATCGTGACCGACAAAAAATATAGTGTAGTCTGAACCCGTTATAAGTTGTTGCGCTTGTAACGTCGTAGATCACATGATAACGTCAACATGGCGGATGATGCCTGGATCGCATTCATACTTAGCTAGATTTGGCTGTAGAGTATATACTCTTTTAGCGCTCGTTAAGTAAGTACTTAATGAAATTAAGTACCTACTCATTGAGTAGACGGTTTCGGACGCAGCCAGTCACTTGCTTCATTTCTGAATGAATCAGCCGTTTGAATGAATCGATGAATGACTGAACGACTCACTTGTTAAGACAGGGAGTTGCCACCACCTACTGGTGCTTTTAGTTTTTTATTTAGAGTAGTGTTTCTTTTTTAAAATAATTTCATATATCACTCACTATTTATTTGCATTTTTGTATTTTGAATTAAAATATTTCTTTCTAATGCTACTTTTTTTGTAATGTCTATTCAGTGTTTTTTTCTAAATGAACACAATGATAACTATTATCTTTAATAACTTTATCTTTAATTAATTGGCACATGATGTGCGTGTTAATTAATCTCGTTAATTTGAGATTAATTTGATTAATTAATCGGCACATTATTAATTAATTAGATAAAAAAATAATCACTTGACAGCCCTATTTAAAAGATAAAAAAATCAGTTTTTCACTAATTTAAATTCACTAAATTGCTGAATTTGACTAAAGTGCTTATTTACAATTATTGTTGGTGTTGTTCCAGACTGTGTATGTTTGATCAGATAAAAATGATTATACATGAAGGAAATATAGTTTAAATAATTGGGAATCTTTCTCGTTCTACATCAAGCCTAGTATATCAATTAATAAGTCTAAGTCTGTATGATAATATATATTTCAAAAACTAGTCTCTTCATTGTAGTCATAACTCGAAATTATCCAGCAGAAAAGCATATTTTATAAGTAAAAAACCGTTGATGTGATATTTTGAACATTTGCTGCTAATCATTTCTCTGCAGCTCAGCAGTTCCTCTGCGGCCCTCTGTAGGTCATTGATGATAGCTCACCGTAGAGAAAATGTATGTTATTTATTAGTTTGTATCTCTGTGTATATCTGTGTGGTTTTATCACATCGATTTATTCGTGTACTGGGGTTTATACCCGGTGTTACCAGTGATTAACTATTAAGTTATGGAGGACTGGGGTCGGGTGGGTCTCTATAAACCAGGGATCCTCAAATATGGCCCACGAGATCCACTTTCCTGCAGAGTTTAGCTCTAACCCTAATCAAACACATCTGAGCAAGCTAATCGGTGTCTTCAGGATCATTAGAAAATCACAGGTAGGTGAGTTTGATCAGGGTTGGAGCTAAACTCTGCAGCGCATTGGCTCTCCAGGGCAAGATTTGAGGAACCCTGCTATAAACCATTAAAGCTCATTTGATTGTAGAGAAAATCCACCAGCTCTCCTTCTGTTAATCACTGTGTCATCACACCCCCACCAAAACACAATATACTCCACTCGGGCCTTCTTGACCCCCGCTGCACCCACCCACCACAGCTGTTAACTGGGGGCCAAACAGGGCACAGACTCGATTAATCTTCACTCGACCGTCAGTACCGAGTCACTTATTGGTGTTAAGATACACTCAAAATTTAGAACGTTTTAATAAGTGCACTCAGCTCTTGTCAGACCGTAAAGCTTCTCTCTTCTACAGAACACACAGAGAAAAGTACTGATTTCTAAAAGTTCAAATATAAATAAATAATGTTATTGAATGTACTTCATTTTTGCTTTGAAAACCTTATGTCATGAATAAATCGTCTTTTTTAATAAACCAGAACTTACTTCAAGTGGAAGCCAATTGGGGTCGCCGTTTTCCCCTGTTTTTATTTATTTTTTTCTTCACTTTTCCAATGAAGGTCAAGTATGAATATTTAACAACAGTTTTGAAATTGTATTAACTATATTCAAAGCAATATACAACTTGTGTGAAGAGTATTTTCATGAATTAAATGTGTAGATACTGCAGCCTACAGACAAAGCAGACAAACAATGCTGCTTTTTCCATTTGAGTTTAAGATAACTGTGAGAACTGTCTGAGACACATAAAGACACTGGTACTCGTTTAAACCTCCACTCTACAGAAAGGTGAGAGACCCTGTTTGTCATTGGCTGTCAAGTGACCAACCAATGGAACATATTTATGGTTTTGGTTAGCCCTGCAGCTGAGTTTAACCGCACTGTAGACTAGTTACACTGTGTAGATTTCTACTGAATACAAAACCCCCCAAAAAAAGTTAGGTACAAACACAGACATCCTGACTGAGACATATGAAGAAATACATACTGACATGGATGTCACAGCCATCTGCTGGTGTGTCCATGTCAGTCACTAGAGGGCACCCTTCCCGGATCATTATGTTTGTTGTGGACTTCAGTTCCCATCAACCTTTGCACGGACTGTCAGGCCTCATTGCTTTCAGCTGTGTGCAATTAGCCTAGATTAGCTATCCTATATATACCATGGCTGCTTCTAAAAGCTTAGGCAGCTGACTTGGTGCCTCACTGTCCTGTCAGGCAATGACTTTGCAGGCAGCGGTTTTGCACGAAGGCACCACATGAAACTGATTTCTGACATGCTTCTGAGGCAGCGTAAAGGTTTAATGATCTACAACAAAATAGAACGAGTTTTAGTGATAACTAAACGAATATTGAATTACTATAATACTGATTTCTCTCTAGAACTAACATCAAAAGTGCAAAAAGTCAGAAATATACTTTTACACACAAACTGACCACCAAATGCAACTTTCAGACGTTTCAGATCTTTATTTTTTAGCTCAACCATCACGAAAGATACATCTATGCTGCCTTCAAAAATCGATCCGATGAAGGTATCTCTTGAGAAAGGAAATTAAGCTAACTTTGGATTCAGATGTGCCTTGATGCCTTCCTACCTTGGGATATGTCCTCCAAAGGCAGCACTTGGGGGAAGTTGTGGCCTAATGGTTAGAGAGTCGGACTTGTAACGCAAAGGTTGCGGGTTTGAGTCTTGTACCGGCAGGGATTGTAGGTGGGTATATTCCACCTTCAATACCATGACTGAGGTGCCCTTGAGCAAGTCACCAAACCCCCAACTGCTCCCTGGGTGCCGCAGCAAAACAAAAATAGCTGCCCACTGGTGTGTGTGTGTGTGTGTGTGTACTTTGGATGGGATAAATGCAGAGTACTAATTCCGAGTATGGGTCACCATACTTGGCCACATGTCACATCACTTTTTCACTTTCATTTTAGAGCTTTCGGACACAACTCATGTTCTGTTCTGTCTTTGGTTGCTGAAGTGTTGTGGTTTTTGTCACTCTGATTCCTGAGTGTTTTTGCTGGAGTTTGCATTCTGGATTACTTTGTGTATTGTGTATTTTGCCCTGTTTTTTCAGGGAGTCTCTGTCAGCGTTCACCAGCTCTGGACTCCATACCCCAGAATCCTCCCCGGCTCACACCTGTTCACAGTCCATAATACAGAAACACAATACAACAATGATATAATGCATACGTATATGTTCTAAGTTTACACAAAAGGTATTTCTTGGACAACTAATGCGTAGAACTGTTAATACAATAATCCAGCTGTCATGGCAAAAGTGCAACAAGACCACAAACCACACAATAACACCAATGCGGAATAACAATTAAATAACAAAATAAATGGTGTACTTTTTTGCTTTCTTTTTAAAAACTGTTTGTAAATATGTCTGTAATTTAATGCTACCAATGCTTTGGCCGTGTAACACCTTTTTACCATACAAATACAGCCACTTGAATATCAAATCTATTAACATTATAACTATGCAAAAGAACTAATATAAATGTGCCAGTGAATTCAAAAAGTTCAGGTGAATTAAAGCAAGAAACACACATAACCAATGCTGGTATGCGTATAAGTACATTTTGAAAGGCAAATTCATGACAAAACGACAAAAACGTCTTCCTGTCTCTCTGTAGGTCAGAATGTGGTTTTAACAGGTAATAATGTACAAAACCAAGACATGACAGTGTATACACACTGTACTTGCTCATCTAAGTGTCTCCAGCATCAGATTATTAAAGAATATTACCCTTCAGTCTTGAATAATACACACTTGATTGATGAAAAACAAGAGAAAGGAACTATGAAGAAGATCTTTATGGACTGAGTCCAGATCTTAAGAAGAAGAAGGGGGAAAAAAAGTAATTTCATCTTGTAGAAAAATGTCAAATGTTTTTGGCGAAATGTTTTTTTCCCTGTTGTTTTTAAATCTAATTTAAGTCTAATTTAAGTTTACTCATTTCATTAACTTATGTTCATTTTACATATCATATCTAACATCACATCAGACATCTGGCTACCTGCAGAAAAGACCAGTTTATTCTTATTGTATCTAACTTTCATTATAATTGTGAATTTTATTTTATTTTTTAAACTTGCACAATATTTTGCATTCTAACCAATAAAGACATTTTTCTTTTTTCTTTTATTTGTGAACTGAAATCCACACATGACCAACTGATAATTGGAGATAGTCACTGTGATCAGAAACCTGTTCGATATTACTAATTGTGAAAACATGTGAAAGTCAACTTGTCTCTTAGGAGTCTTTAATATGCTGAAGTAAATAAAAAAAAATATATATATATCTGTTGCACATTTCTGATGCTCACCTGGTTACTGTTGTCACTTATGTCTGATATGTCATCCGTAGAGCGCGTAGAAGCACTACGCAGTATTTAAATAAGTATTTCACCATCATTTTGGAATTATTTACAAGCAATATAGTCAAATAAATCATATATTGATAACATTGGGTCGCCACGATGAACAGGTACGTTTGATGAATTTTAAACAAAACACTATTTGTACAAACTGGTTACTGTTGTCACTTATGTCTGATATGTCATCCGTAGAGCGCGTAGAAGCACTACGCAGTATTTAAATAAGTATTTCACCATCATTTTGGAATTATTTACAAGCAATATAGTCAAATAAATCATATATTGATAACATTGGGTCGCCACAGGTACGTTTGATGAATTTTAAACAAAACACTATTTGTACAAACACGTGTCGTACTTCCCAATGAGGGCCTGATGTAGCTTGCGTCCTCATATTTGTGTTCGGCCTGCTGTGTTTCGGTTGTCAAATGCTTTACTTAAACTATTAAAGGGAAAACTTGTGTTGTTAACACATTACACATGAATTGGTTAATGAATGCTTATCAGGTTTATATGGAGGGTTTGTCTGCTGTAGCTATTATTTTGATTTAGTCGTTAGCAATTAGCATTAACATTCTGTATTACTGTTTTTTATTTCCCGGTGCATGTGCAGTTAGTTTTAGTTTGTAGTTTGAATTGTCTAGTCTTACAGTTGATAAGGTTATGGTTTTACTAGTAGGGTAAGATGGGTGAAAACTCTCCTCGTAATAACATTTACTGCTAAACTGTAGCATATTTAGAGATGAGATTAACATGTATACATAATAACATACAGGTAATATACACTGTAAACCCAGTGATCTTATTATTATTTTTATAGTCAGTTTCATAATATTTCTCGTTAGAAGAAGAATTCAAGCTACCTTAAGAACAAAGAACAGTGACACAAATGGCATAAACATTTAGTTTAAATGTTCACTTTTAATTTTCTTTAACTTTTCTGACTATTTACATCTAGTTACAATTGTTACAGCTTTCGTTGGTTCTCTCTGGTGCATAAGACGATGTTTTGCGCTGTTTATGCACTGTATTGATCTTATTACAGAATGAGATCTTCAGACTGCAAACTAAATGACACTGTGATTAACAAAAGGAGATCAGGTGGTTATTTTCTCCAATCAAAAGAGCTTTATTGGGTTATTGTGCCCCCACTCGACTCTGTCCTCTATAATTATTTGACCTGTTAATACCTGCCTACGATAAACCATATGAGTAAATCTTCTTGTTGAAATCAAACACACATATATAAAAAGATAAAAAGAGCATATACAATATTTCCTCTGCATTTTTTTGAGAAAACTTTGACATTATTAACAATCAGAAAAAAAGTGTAATTTCAGTTACAAAAATTCACATTCCTTCACTTGAAACCTTACATTTTAAATGAAAATGCTGTTTAAATATCTGCTTTTCAAATTTGTTAAAGCATTTCACATAAAACACATCTTTTCCACTGTTTGTCGTATATGATATGCCACTCTGAACTATCATGAATGACCTACAGAGGGCAGCAGAGGAGCTCTGATGCAAATAAAAAATAAAGACGACCAGCAAATGTCCAAAATATAACGTTTACTATCATAACAGAAGCATTACGATCTGACATGTAATGAAAAAAGAAGAACGACTTAATTGTTTTTCTACTCTGCGTTTATTTTAACACGTACAATGTTAATCTAATTCAATAAATAGATTGAATAAATCAGAGTGCTGTGAGTGTGTGTTGCTTTAGCTCTTTTCTGTGTGGTTAAGGTGTCATCTATAGCTCTGTGGTGTTTCCAGTCAGAAAGAGATGTTTGCTGGGTAACTGCATAGAGGAAATAAATCTGGGTTACAGAATGAAGAATCATACAGTTGAGGCTATGCGCTCTTACAGGGGATTTACTAAATGAAAATATTTACTAAATATTATAGGCCTACTGATGTTAGTTCTGATCCTCAGATATGATTGGTTGAGCTGTGTTCCATGAGGGCTGATATATTTAGTCCAACAGCATTTCCCAGAAGGCCTAGTTTAAGCACTTCTAGTATGACTTTTATGTAAAAGCATTTATTTCTTTGAGAATGACCCTAGATTAACATGAAGCTGCTTTAACAGTTGCAGACTATTTATTGAAAAAAGTGACGTGACATGACATGTGGCCAAGTATGGTTACCCATACTAGGAATTAGTGCTCTGCATTTAACCCATCCTAAGTGCACACACACAGTAGTGAACACACACACACACCATGATCACACACCCGGAGCAGTGGGCAGCCATTTTTGCTGCGGCGCCCGTGGAGCAGTTGGGGGTTCGGTGCCTTGTTCAATGGTCTCACCTCAGTCGTGGTATTGAAGGTGGGAGAGAGCGCTGTACATTCACTCCCCCCACATACAATTCCTGCTGGACCGGAGACTCGAACTCGCAACCTTTGGCAGACTCTCTAACCATTAGGCCACGACTTCCCCAAAGTGAAGTGTTTTGGTTGAGCACTTCAGTTGAGTTCAGTTGAAAATAAATCCAGCTGTTTAATATATTATATATAATATACAAATATGACATAACATTATAATGGAAGTGATACAAATTTGAGGTGTGACCGATGCCATGCCATTTCTAAAGAAACTTAGAATTTGTTATATTCTTTTCTTTGTTTTTTTATTTATTATTCATTTAAGAATAAATCTGACAATGATGCTTAATGTGTGTCGTGTTCATATATTCATAAATGTTGAAATGATGTTGAAATTGCATTGACTTTTTTATTGAATAAAATGCTGTTTACATGAAGAAGTATAATATGGTAGTAATACCCAGCTAAACAATTTCATTGCTGATATTTCAGGCTATTCATTATTCACAAAAATGCACAAAACATATATTTATTTATTTAGTATTGAGTGTAAACTTAATAAGAATAGTCATTGTTAGTCATTCATGGCAAAATAAACGTCAGTATCAAGTGTGAAGGTACTTTGCTTAACACTCTTGGCAAGCACTAAATGTGTAGATCTAGTATACAAACAAAGCAGACATAATGCAATGCTGCTGTTTCCATTTGAGGTTAAGACAACAGTGAGAACTGAGATACATAAATGCATAAAGGGATTGAAAAAATACTGCACTCGGTTCTTGGTTAAACCTCCAGTGTAGACAAAGGTGAGCGACCCTGTTTGTCATTGGGTGTCAAGTACCAAATGCAGCAGAACATATTTATGGTTTTGGTTGAGCACTTCAGCTGAGTTTAGTTGAAAATAAAGCCAGCTGTTTAATATATTACATATAATATACAAATATGACATAACATTATAATGGAAGTGATACAAATTTGAGGTGTGACCGATGCAATGCCATTTCTAAAGAAATGTAGAATTTGTTGTATTCTTTTCTTAGTTTTTTTTATTTATTATTCATTTAAGATTAAATCTGACAATGATGCTTAATGTGTGTCGTGTTCATATATTCATAAATGTTGAAATGATGTTGAAATTGCATTGACTTTTTTATTGAATAAAATGCTGTTTACATGAAGAAGTATAATATGGTAGTAATACCCAGCTAAACAATTTCATTGCTGATATTTCAGGCTATTCATTATTCACAAAAATGCACAAAACATATATTTATTTATTTAGTATTGAGTGTAAACTTAATAAGAATACAGATTTTAACTGAAAGGTTAAATTGTGTTTTCCGCATAAGGGTGTTTTCATAAAAGTCCGTTTCAAATGTCATTTTACACAATTCATACACTATTTATAGATTAAAAACTATTGTAGACATAAGAATGTATTAAAAGTAGTCATATACATATTTTCTTAAACATGAGTTTAAAAGAATGGAGGCAATCAAATACAAAGACAATGATTTTCTATTCAGAAAATATTTATGCCATTCATTTGCTAGCTATTTTTTTTCTCAATACAAAAAGCACTTTAAAAATCCAAGTAACCTTTGGTCATTTAACTGATGGTGTTTACTATTTGTACAGATTCATTTATACAGTGATTGATTAAATTATATCACATGCAACGTTTTTGTTTGTTTTTAATTTAATTTAATTTTTACTCTTTTTCTTCCTTTCCCGCGGATCCCCTGGCATTTAAAAAAAAACCCAATCTAAAGAATGTATAGCTGCCGAACTGTTTGTGGTCAGGGGTTTGAGAGTTGCATGAACTTCAAGCAACAAAACAAGCAGTTATACTCATGTGTTATGTCTTGGTGGCTTTAGAGCAGCATAGATGCTGTTGACTTGGCTTGTCCGAATATTTCTACGCAGCTTGGAAAAATCCACCTCAGCGTACTGAAAGAGCAATGAAGAAAATGATATAAGCTCGAGCTGTCCATGGACCAAAATGAATGTTTCAATTAATCCAAAAAATAGGATACTGTTTGAGTAAAAGGTCAGCAGGAATGCTAAATTACTATCAAGACCCACATTAATGATTTTTTTTTACCTGTAATTGGTCTTGATGCTGTTCTGTAACTTGCATCTGCTGTAGATCAGTGTTGAGTTGTTGTGTTCGTTCTGAAGATCTTTTATTTCCAACAACAAAAACCTTTAATAGTGCTAAAAATGGAATAGCAAATTCAGATTCAGTATAAAAAGGGTGTATATTTATTTCTTAAATTATTTAGATAAGTCAACTAAAATACCAAAATGATAACGAAAAGACTAAATAAAAAACTTACATCTGTCTATGGAGAACAGCATCATACTGATAACTCACCGATCACCACAATGATCAGAAGTCCGTTCATCAGGCCAGATATGATGATGATGATGATAATCTGCCATTGTGTCTGATTCTGATCAATAAACTCCACCGCTGTATGATTGTGACACTTAGTTAGATGAGCTGATTCTGTAATAAAATTGTCCACAGTCTGTTACTGTAACAACTGCTGACATCTGGAGCACAATGACTGCAATTTTGTAGAACTAAATTGAATTTCTATAACATATTAAACTTTGTGTAGAGCAACCAATAAGTGGTCTATAGGGTTCAAAAAACTGAAGAAGTGAATTACAAATACTTATAAATACTCACCAGTGAAGTGCAGTCTGGTGCTGTTGCTGAGTTTTGGAGGTGTTTCTGTGTTCATACAGTAATAAACTCCTAATTCATCAGCAGTCACATTATTAATAACCAGACGATGTTTAAACTGCACTGAATATTTGTTTCTGAATGTTTTGTTAAAGTAAAAAGGTGATTTTGGTGTTGAGAATGATAGTAGAATCACTGTCGGAGGATCTGATGTTTTCAGTAAAATCCAATAAACCTCATTTTCATCAAGATCACAGTTTATGGTCACATTTGATCCCAAATCAGCCAGTAGATCTGAAACTGCAGCTTGACAACAGATTAATACATCTATAAGATAAAAAAAGTCAATAAGCACACATCATAATTAAGACCGGCCTCTCAAAATCACTGTGAACTTTTAACATAAAATAATTTACAACAAAGTGCACGCTACATTCATAATATATAATGAACTTACAGAGCTGAAGCTGAAGGATCTTCATTTTCTTGCCTGATTAAAACCGCTGAATCTAATGAAGCCTGGTTCCCTCAACACAGCATTTATAATGAAGTCAACTGCAGCTCTCAAGAAGAAACCAGAGGAAGTCAAGTTTGCTCTGACCACATTGCAGACAGTTTTTTTTCAACATCTAACGCCCACCATCATAATCATTTTATTAATTAGATTAACCATGACAGTACATTACCAGATATTTGCAGTAACATTAGCAAACCTATCTGTCACATAAAACACCCTCTCATGACAACTCATAATCATTTGTACAAGAAGCTAAAATCATATTACATTATATGACTTAGATTGTACAAACACTTTCATAGTTTTCTTCCTGTTATTATGGTCAGGTTTAGGTTTGAATTTGAACGATTTTATCTTATGATCTCATACAAATTATTATGAATTCTCATGAGACTGGGTTACTGTGTCTAGTCACACTGTGTGTAGTCACGTGTAGTCATGCTTAAGAGTTTCTGCCAAGTTACTTTGTTGGCAGACATCATAGAGCCACCGTTGTGCTGCAAGAGGTGAGGTGTAAAGTCACAAATGACCTAGTGCATCAAACAATACTTTGCAAAGAAAACATCATGGCTATAAATAGACAATACAACAATTTAAAACGTAGAATATGAGCAAGTTTTAATAATATGTGAGATTATTTGAAACGGAATGTTTAAGAAACATGCTAAGGTCTCTCCATCTCTCTCTCATTTAATGCCTTTATCTGTGTACCACCAAGAGTTTGGCAACAGCGCTTTGGTTACATCTGTCCCCATGACAGGTACAGTTAGAGTTAGAAAAAAATATTTTAATGCTCATTAAAGCCTCTTGAGGGCAGCAGAAGACAACTACAATTTAAAGAACATGACACGCCATCTGCAGTCTAATTAAGAAAGAAAAAGAAAAAAAACGAAGTGACTGTGTCTGTATCACTATCAGAATAGACTACTTAGTCATTTGCTGCATATAATGCAATAATACAATACAACAATGCACATACTAAACACTCTGCTTTTGTACGCAAGGTATTTTTTTGGCATAATAACAATGTGAAAAACCAAAGACATTAACAGTATAGTAATGACAAGTAATGAATTTCTAAAGCAGAACAATTGTTATTTGTGCCAAAGAGTGCAAACTAAACCAAACATACAACATACGTTACAATGAGGCGGTGCTTGTCCTGGGTGCAACACATTTAGCCTATTTCTGTAAGACATGTGAAAAAAACAGTTTAGATTGGGAGCACGTGTACACCTGAACTCACTTATATAGAATTACACTCTTTAAAACACAACACGACAGTATGATAATTTAATGTCACAGTAGTTTTCTTATTTTTAGAACAAAAATTTAAAGGGACAATATTTATCCATTTCATTCAAGCTGTCAATAAACACTATAGGCTACACATACACAACCAAACCAATATACTGATGTAAACAAGTATAATGTGAAAGGCATTTTCATGTCAAGGCTGTTTCAGTTCCTCTGCGGTTCATGACTGAGGGTGTCACTGGAAACTCAGCATTCATGTCATTCTTTTGATGATAATAAAGTCCCAGTGACAGCAGGAATGTGTCAAACACAATTCAACAAACTTCAGTGTTTAAATAACCATATGTACAGAGATCAATATGTTTGCCTGTCTCTGTGTGTACTATTATTGTTTTGTTCATTCTTGGAGACTCTGGGAACAGAAATGACTCTGTTATGATTTGTTTCTCACTAAACACATGATCTGCCCACTTATTAAACACTTACTTGCTCATCAGGTCTGACTACAAGTTAAAGTCTCTCCACCCATCAGGTTGCCAGGGAATATTAGTCTATTTAATTACAGCACTTGTTGAGTCAGTGAGGATGAAGACGAGAGAGAGGAACTATGAGGCAGATCTTTCTGGATTGAGCCCAGATATGACAACCAAAACCATCAATGCAGGTATCTATATCTCACTCTATTCTCTTCAGTAGAGAGTAACTGTTTTTCTGTTTGTTCAACTCATCTGTTGGAGTGGTTAATATCAAGCAAAATCTGAACAGCAATCCATGGGAAATCCAGACTGTGTTCAGCTGTTTTCTGTTCTCTCTCTGTAGGTCAGAATGAGGATGTTGCTGGGAACTCTGCGTTTTTGTCCAGTTTTTACAGTGACAATAAAATAAAGTCAAGACTTGACAGTGTATTGAGACACAATGAGTGGGAATATAAGACATTATTCAGAGAAATGCTTTACTTGATCCAGAATACAACATTTTCCCAGAACAGTTTACGAAAGGAAGCTTCAATCTCATACTCACGTAAGTATGAATACTTGGATCAAATGGGGCATCAGATGCAAGGAAAAGACCATCTTATTTTGTTATTATTATATATACAAATTAATTATTGTTCAGAGAACTTCCACAATATTTTGTAGTCTAACTAATGAAAAAAAAAAGCTTTTGTCATTTATTTTATTGATGAACTAAAGACCAGACAGATTATTCAAGACAACTGAGCATGTTCATTATTACTAATGGTGAAAATTCAGTAGAAGATCAAGTCACAAGCATTCAAGCAGCCAGAGGCCAGCTGGAAACGGCGTGGGTTCGGCCACTCCTGAGGTTGTGAGCCCTTCTGCACAATATGAACCAGTAAGTTGAACAAGGTATCCTTCTTTTTGACTTGATTGACATTTAAGATCGTTTCAGTGACTCAATTTTTTATTAAGAATCATTTACAATTAAGCTAGGTATGCATTTTTTGTTTGTGGATGTGATATTTACATTACAAAATATAGGAGTTCATGACAAAACAAAAACATTTTGCTTCTGTATGTGGAAGAATATATAACATATTTTAGAGGTGGCTTATAATTACCATTTCTTGGGGAACCCCCCCCCCCCCCCAAAAAAAAAAAAATGAACAGGTATGTTTGGTGAATTCTGAATGAAACGCTGTTTGGAGAAACACGTACTTCTCAAAAATGAAAGTCTAATGTAGCTTGTTGCTCGTGTTTGTGTTTGGCCTGCAGTGTTTGGGTTGTTAAATGCTTCATTTAAACTAGAATTAAAAACAGGAAAACTCTTAAGCATTATGAATACATTAAACATGAATTATTATAAACTTGATAATCAGGTTTGTCTGCTGTAGCTATTATTTTGATTTAGTTGTTAGCAGTTAGCATTTTGTATTATAATCTTTTGTGTCTCATGTTTGGTTTAGATGATAGTAGTTTGATTTGCTCAGTCTTGCAGTGAAATCAACATTTTACCAGTAGAGTAAGTAAAATAGGTCAATACTGTCTTCAAAAACATTTTCTGCCAAATTGTAACAATATAGCATGTATTGACATGGGAGAGACACTATACCCATTCTTACCTTAATCATGTGTGTTATGTGAAAATCAAACATATTAAGTTTGTGTTGCTTGAAGCATGCTATTCAAGTTGAGCTAAATGAAGTTAGATACTTTTTCTGTTTCTGCAGCTGCTGCTTTAATGATAGTAGTTTGATTTGCTCAGTCTTGCAGTGAAATCAAGGTTTTACCAGTAGAGTAAAATAGGTCAATACTGTCTTCTTCAAAAACATTTTCTGCCAAATTGTAACAATATAGCATGTATTGACATGGGAGAGACACTATACCCATTCTTACCTTAATCATGTGTGTTATGTGAAAATCAAACATATTATGTTTGTGTTGCTTGAAGCATGCTATTCAAGTTGAGCTAAATGAAGTTAAAGAGACTTTTCCTGTTTCTGCAGCTGCTGCTTTATCTGTGTATTCGCTGTGCTGATAAACAAAGGTGAGAACAAAAAATATATATTTAAGAGTTAAATTCATGCCACATGTATAAATGCCAGACTGTGTGTTTACAGTTAAAGCTTGTGTGATTTCAGTGTGTCTGCAGCTCACAGTAGAGGCTGTTATTGGTGGTTCTGTTGTCCTGCCGTGTTCCTCAGCTGAACATAGTAAAATAGGTCAATACTGTCTTCAAAAACATTTTCTGCCAAATTGTAACAATATAGCATGTATTGACATGGGAGAGACACTCTATCCATTCTTACCTTAATCATGTGTGTTATGTGAAAATCAAACATATTAAGTTTGTGTTGCTTGAAGCATGCTATTCAAGTTGAGCTAAATGAAGTTAGATACTTTTTCTGTTTCTGCAGCTGCTGCTTTATCTGTGTATTCGCTGTGCTGATAAACAAAGGTGAGAACAAAAACTATATTTAAGAGTTAAATTCATGCCACATGTATAAATGCCAGACTGTGTGTTTACAGTTAATGCTTGTGTGATTTCAGTGTGTCTGCAGCTCACAGTAGAGGCTGTTATCGGTGGTTCTGTTGTCCTGCCGTGTTTCTCAGCTGAACACGATCATAAACTTCGAAACATTGATGTGAGCTGGAGACACAATGGCAGCAAAATTGTATTTGATATAATTCCACACAGTAATTCACCAGTGACACAGGATCCAGAGTACAAGAACAGAACTGAAACTTTCCCTCAGGAGTAGGCTGTTATTGGTGGTTCTGTTGTCCTGCCGTGTTCCTCAGCTGAACATAATCTTAAAATTCAAGACATTGATGTGAGCTGGAGACACAATGGCAGCAAAATTGTATTTGATATAATTCCACACAGTAATTCACCAGTGACACAGGATCCAGAGTACAAGAACAGAACTGAAACTTTCCCTCAGGAGTATCTGAGAGGAAACTTCTCCATCAAACTCAACCATCTTCAACACACTGATGCAGGACAATACATTTGCTATATCACACACTCATCTAAATATCAGACTGTACAGCTGATCATCAATGGTATGTGAAACTAGCTGATTAGTGCAGTTTTGAATTTAAACAAAGTTGTTTGTTTTAAAATCTAAATACTGCAAGTGATTGATTCAATATCTGAAGTTCAGCAGTGATGCTCCAGTCTCAGTGCTGCTGTATATAAATGATAGATGGATCCTTTATTACAGTGAGGTAATGTTTTCTGTAAAAGTTTTTTTTTTCTTTTTTCAGGATCAATATCCACTGAACAAGGAGAAACAGAACAGGACAGAATGGTGCCATCACTGCCTGTACTCTTGGTTTGCATTATATTACCTGTGTTATTGATATTGGTTGTTATTTTCATTGTAGTTTTCTTGAAAAAAAAGTGCTCAAGCAGCCAGAGGCCAGCTGGAAACGGCGTGGGTTCGGCCACTCCTGAGGTTGTGAGCCATTCTGCACAATATGAACCAGTAAAGGTTGATAATCATGACGAAGCAGTTGGTAAATGAAAAACTGCACTTTCCTGCAGCAACTGCATGAGCTTTTGCATTAAACATGGATCTAAATACTGCAAGTGATTGATTCAATATCTGAAGTTCACCAGTGATGCTCCAGTCTCAGTGCTGCTGTATATAAATTATAGATGGATCCTTTATTACAGTGAGGTAATGTTTTCTGTAAAAGTTTTTTTTTCTTTTTTCAGGATCAATATCCACTGAACAAGGAGAAACAGAACAGGACAGAATGGTGGCATCACTGCCTGTACTCTTGGTTTGCATTATATTACCTGTGTTATTGATATTGGTTGTTATTTTCATTGTAGTTTTCTTGAAAAAAAAGTGCTCAAGCAGCCAGAGGCCAGCTGGAAACGGCGTGGGTTCGGCCACTCCTGAGGTTGTGAGCCCTTCTGCACAATATGAACCAGTAAAGGTTGATAATCATGACGAAGCAGTTGGTAAATGAAAAACTGCACTTTCCTGCAGCAACTGCATGAGCTTTTGCATTAAACATGGAGTCAGAGGAGGTTAGTGCTTTCATTGTTGTTGCCGCAGCTTCGAGTAGAAAAATAAATAAAAAGACGAGTAAGCAAATGATTTGTTTGAAGAACAGAAAATGGCTAGAATGAGTGTGTGTTTCTGCATCCTCCTTATGTGCACACTATAAGGCTACCTAGAAATCTATAGTAATGTGGTCGTTCATGGTTTTGGAATTCAAGTCAATTCCCAAAAAATGATCAGGAGCTCGCAAGGTGCTCTACTCATTCATAAATCACTATTGTAATAATATTCCACAGCTGTTTTTGCAGGAAACAACTTTCTTCAACGCATGTCATATCTGTAAAGAAAGGAGAGAAGGTCTCATAGTAGCTTGAAGGCTCAACAAATGACCTTAAACTGATAAGAATTTAAGCACAAAGGGAAAGCAACTACAGTAAAACATGAATCATTGGCTTAGCTTTTCAGAAATATGTTTAGTTTAGTTTGCATAGCATCACATTGGCTGATCATTGAGGTATACAAAACAATGTTTATGTTGGTAACATTGCCCAAATAACCTCAAAACAACAGCGCCATATAAACTACTTACCTGGTCATATAACATTTTGTGAATATCCATCTTTATTTAGTTATTTATTTATTTGTAGGAGTGTTAGATGTGTTGATGTTGTTAGCAACATTCACGCTAAGACAATCGCCTGTAACCATGGGCTCAGTTTGCTGGCCTATTTCTGCCTTATAAGAAAAAAGTTACAATGTTAAAAAATTAAAGCTACAATGTTGCTTTAATAGCTATTTTTATATTTTCCTTTTGTACCATTTGTCATTTCTTTTTTATTTTATGTCTCAAGCCCTTTTAATGACTATGAAGTGTGCTATTTAAATAACCTCGCCTTGCCTCTTGGCTTTGTAAGTTAAAAAGTTACTTTTTTAGCTGAATGTTAACAGCTTTCTGATGTTTTGTACTGTTATATCCTTGCCTTATGCACAGCATTTTTATTGTGTAACAGAATGAGATTTTGGAACGGGTACATTTTTGACTGAAGTTATAAGACTGTCAATATGTTGCTGCCTTAATTCTGTATTAGTAAACATTTATATTGAACTGTTTTATTTGTAAGAACTGTTATTTAAATGTACTACAATGTTCTCAGGTATATACATTGGAAATGAGGACCATTGTGTTTTATAGTATGTAGACAAGCTCTTTATATTCAAGACCCAATAAATCATGTAAATAAAATAGAATCTGTCAAAGTTATTTGAATATTTCTAATCTTATGTGAATTCAGGCTGATTGGAACAATTTCTAGCCATTGAAATGACTGGGAAAAGTCACCCAATCAACCTGAATTCACATATTTTCAGTAAAACTAAATGTTTTACGTTTACATTTACTCATTTGTTTAAACAAGCAATACACCAAACGTGCTGATATTCCTATGCGCAATGTTTGAAACCTAGTTACTCTGTGGGAACTCTTATAGTGATCTAGACCACTGAAATTTGTCTACTTTAAAATAATGTCCAGATTGCTATAGTTTCTGAGGAATGACGAGGTAACACCTGAGTAGTGAGGGCTTCACACGGGTTTCACAAATTATTAAATTTAATACATTTGTCTAACACATACTGTAAAGCCTTGTGATTTATGAGCTACCAGACAATTTTGTGATTTCAAAGTGGTTAAAGAACATAGTGGATGCTGTCCATTTTCATCAAGAATGCTTGTGTGCAAGACTGAGGTCCTGTCCATGAGTCCAGCTTTACCGGTTTGTTTAACTTTAGTTGTTTGTCAGTCACAAATGAATGGGGGCGTGGGGCAGAAACAATGCCAAAATCATTAAAAATGACCCAAGTGCACAAGAAATGGGGCAAAAAAGGTCTCTGTAATCAGTTTTTTTTAATGTACTTATAACATGATATAGTAAATTTCACACGAGCAAGAGTTGTTTTTCTAAAAATCAACATGATCACAAATGTGATATTCTCCCTAGAAACAGTCCATAGAGGATTTTGTCTCTTTGTGGTTTGTGCATACAGTAAACTGATGTTTTCTTGTCAACAACATGATGTGTCATTTATAGTTGTTATAATTTCCATTGTAGTTTTCTTGAGAAAAACATGCTCAAGCAGCCCCAGGGCAGCTGGAAACGGCTAGGGTTCAGGCACTCACGAGGCCCGTTTCTGCCTCATAAGAAAAAAACAAATCGTGCTTTTGTAGATCATGAGATTTAAAATGTGAAAATTACAGAAGTTTGAAATTATCAGATAAAAAAATGGATATTATCACATAAATCAATATTGACTAATTGTGAAAAAAAATATAGCATAAGTAGTACTTTTGAGATAAAGGGTCATAATAGACAAAATTATGACCTTTTGTCATAATTTCCATAGCACAGTGGTGCAGCTCAAATAATCAGATTTATCCTTGCAGAATAGTGGATCTGAAACAAGACAGGGAATTAACAAATCTTAATGTTCATCTGCAAGTGCTGCATCTGCAAAAGGGCCAGTTTTTGTACTCTTTATATTGTACATTTTTGATTACTTTTTGTGTTTCAATGTATGCAGATAATCTCTTTATGTTTAAATACCAATAGAATCTGAGGTATCCATTAAGTTTATATGGTGAAGAACTAAAACTGTCTCCCTGCAGTGGTCAAAACAAACTAAGCTTGCACGGATTTCAAATTTCAGGATTGTAAAACCGTAAAAACAAGAAAGCCAAAGCTGGATGTGGGTTCTTGAGGCAGTGCACTGGGGCTCCTTGAGGGCTCAGTGAGGGCTTTAAAGGCCTCTAAGCGCATCTTGGCACCAGAATATGATAAACACATGAGGCTCTTGCTCACTTGGGAATATATATGACAAACGTCCTGGTGCTGAGTGTTGCCACATCAAGCACCACTCCTTAATAGTAAATGAAAAACATCAGATAAAGAAGTCAGGTCATACTTCTGACAACTGAAAAAGCAAACAGGATCTTTGTATTTAGGAACCAGTATGATGAGAATATACATCAAAAGCATTTAATTAACATCAGTCCACTGTACACGTAATACAAAATCACATGCTATATAATACATACAATACAAAAGGCTGCTTTTGCATTCAAGATATTTCTTGGATGAATGCAATGTCAAACTGAAACAAATATTAACCCAATGTCAATGGAAAAAAAAGTGTGCCAAAGAATTGAACTGAATTAAAACAAACAACCAAACCTATTTACTTGTAAACAAAGTTTGAAAGGCAAATTCATGACAAGGCTGTATGTTAGCGACTTGTGTTTTTTAAACTCTTTAAAAAGATTGCTCTCCTAAGTTTCTCTACATGAATGAAGATGTAAGTGGAATTTCTGCATTCTTGTCATGTGCTTACATTGACGGTAAACAAAACCAATGGCAAGACTGTGTGTCCAAATCGGTACTCTTATGGTCTGCAATGTTTCTTAAGTATGAGCAGTTCAGCAACATGATCTGAGCAGTCAGAGATGCTGTGATGTTTTTAAACCTGTTTGATATTATCACCATATAATCTTGTAATAGTGTGAGCGATGCAGCAACAACAACAACAACATGATAATCATGTAAATGAATGCAAGGTGAACATTTGATCATAATTGTTTTACACTAATAAACTAACAAGAACATTTTGCACTATACTTAACAGTGGGGTCGGGATTGTCTCTTGGCCAAAGATCTTGTAGTTTGTGCACCTTCTGGTGTAGTATGAGCGCTGCTAAAACAGGAAAACAACATGGTGATTTACGTAGTCTTATACCCTAACATTAGCCTGAAACCCAATCTGGAAATCTGACTGGTTGATAGGGATGTTTTTCCAGAAAATATGTCCTACTTGGCAAAAGTTCACCCAAAAATGAAAATTAGCCCACAGATTACTTACCCTCAAGTAATCCTAGGTGTGTTTGACTTTCTTCTTTCAGAAGAATCCAGTTGGAGTTATATTAAAAATTGCCTTTGATCTTTCAAGCTGTTTAATGGCAGTCAGCGGGTGTTGCATGCATCAGTCCAAAAGAAGTTAAATAAAAAGCGTTCATCCATAAAAAAAGTGTCTCACACAGCTCCGGGGGGTGAACAAAGGCCTTCTGTAGCGAATCAATGCGTTTTGTAAGAAAAATATCTATATTCAAAATGTAATAATCACTTTGATGTAGCTTGCGCTCACTGTTGTACATGGAAGCAGTTCCGGGTGGATGATGTATGAGGTCGGCGTTGCGCATGCGCCGCTCAGAAGTGATGAACACTGAAGCACAGGGGAGAGATCAAAACAAAACAACGGTCACTAATTAGAAGTACAAAATGAGGATTTGTAAAGAAGAATGTCGGAGGATTTCGATATAAGCCAAGAGGAGACTGGTTTTCCTTTGCTGAAGTAAGGAAACTTTGCTTCCTTTGCTCCTGTAAAGAAATGTTGGTTTTCACGAGACTCACCGGCGCATGCGCAAAGCCGACCTCCATACGTCATCCGCCCGGAACTGCTTCTGTGTACAACTATTGGCACAAGCTACATTAAAGTGATTATTACGCTTTGAATGTGGATATTTTTCTTACAAAAACGCATCGATTCACTACAGAAGGCCTTTGTTCACCCCCCGGAGCTGTGTGAGACACTTTCTTTTATGGATGAACGCTTTTTATTTAACTTGTTTTGGACTGAAGCATGCAACACCCGCTGACTGGCATTAAACAGCTTGAAAGATCAAAGACAATTTTTTATATAACTCCGACTGGATTCATCTGAAAAAAGAAAGTCATATACACCTAGGATGACTTGAGGGTAAGTAATTTATGGGCTAATTTTCATTTTTGGGCGAACTAACCCTTTAAGTAAATATTCTTCAGCGCAAGTCCCAAATGTGCTGTTTGCCATTCTATGTCAAACATACAGTTTGTTGTGCTATGTTTTTCAGTAAAAGTGTCTAAACATCCCTAAAACAATATCAGTTCATCTGAGAAGCAAAATGATTTAAGATATTTAGCCTTGTTTGCAGAGAATACTGCTTGAATTAAGTCAATAGCAAATCAAATTGTTCTTAAGTATTAACAACAAAATATATGTTTATGCTGAAAACGGAAAATAGTTATTTATGGTAATAACTGCTCTAATATAGTAACAGTCTCTTTCTGAGTTGTTTGTTTAGGCCTTTGTCTCTCTGTTGTGTGGTGCCCTCTACTGGATAAAAACCTGAACCGACTCTTTGAGATTTACAGTGGCCCAAAAATATTTAGACACTTGAGCCCAACTTAAAAATGTCAAACCAAATGGCATTTATATTATAGAGATGTAGAATGAGCACAATGTAAGTGATACTGTAGATTCACTTTCTCAGTAACAGTATCATTCAGTCTAACCTATATAAAATGTATAAAGAAAAATGCCAAGACCCCAAAACAAGCCAGACAAGACTGCGGCCCCTTCCTATTTCTCTAATGTTCAAACCTGCATTAGCGGAAGTGGGGAAATCAGACTCCTCTGATTCATGGAATGTCCCAGCAATCTGTGCAGGAAAGTCATAATCAAGATATGATGATCCCATTTCAAGGTATCTATAATAAATATTCATGCAAACAGACACATTTATACACACTATACACACGTAATTGCTTATGATCAGTCCATACGGCATCAAGAAACCCAGCAGAATTTCCAAATTCTGCATTTATCACTTAAAACAGGTCATATATGAAAATACATAAATAATCATTCATCTCACATGTAAGTTAATTTTGAGATACATTGTCAGTTCGTTCTATAAATATAGTCTGTTTATTAGGTTGTATTATTTTTCTTTTTATAGTAATCTTTTATCTTTTTGAGTTCTGTCCGATTGAGTGAGGTGTTTGCATGAAGACTTTTCTGTCCGACTGAGCCATTAATCTGATTACTAATGGATTATTTGAATGTTGAAAGAGCGAAACATTCTAGTAGATTGTTTGATCACGGACCCTTTTCATAAAAGTGGAATGTATTATAGACAGATATGTTGGTAAATTATTGTGGGTTGCTCCTGGTCAGAAGTGGTGAGCATTTACCAACAGTGGTCTGAGGTGGGACAAACCAGCAACAGGGTGTTGGGCTGTCAAAGCTCAAACCAACAGAAGGTCTACTGTAGCACAAGTCACCTGACCATGATGAATAACATGTGGCGGGAAACTAGAAAAAAGGACAACAGGGATTAATGAAAAACTAGAAGTCCATGAAAACAGAAACTAAAGAAAAATAACTGAAAGGCTGTGACAAACGGGTTAATGTTAATGGATGAATCTTTATTTTTGAAGCACTAAATACAATGGTGCAGTGTACACTCAAACTAAATGCAGGGCTTGGAAAAACTCCAAATATGAGTCTTAGAGCAGCATACACACAGACCAATACAGTATGAGGATAAACTTTTTGTTCAAGACCAAATCAATTAAGATGAAATCTTAATGTCTGTTGGGTTAAAATGTTCATCTTTCTAAACTGAACCCATTTAAATGTCTTAATATGACAAACATCTTCCTTACAGATGCCAAATATACAGTTTAAAAGTTAATTTTGAATAACAATTGAGATGCTTTTGAAGTCAGGCTGTGAAATGTAAAGTGCATCTTAATGCCTCGAACTAAAGTCTTGAATTTACTATTATCTCTTCTACAATACAATGTTGCAATTTTGCTCTATACTTTCCACAAGTCATAGTTACTCTTTTGAGCAACACTTTTTAAATTTGCTACCTACAGTAGTTGTGAAATTAGTGGGACAGACTTGCACGTGTGATTTGTCCCTGTTTGGAGAACATTACTGATGCCATTAGTCATCTTAAACTCAACACATTTCCAAGAATGGACTGATGGTTTGTCTTCTGAATTCTACGGATTGTTTGCTAAAAATTTACTCTTTTCACAGAACGTAATATGAAAGCTTCACTTCCTCTACACTTACTCAAGGCATTAAGTAACAAAGCCAATATGTCTTAATAACCATTACAACATTTAAGCTTTGTGCAAGATGCTATAATAGATACCAACATCTTTTTTTAAAAAGGTACACACATTTCTAATGGGGTAGTTGCATATGGTGGCCATGTTAGATTTCCAGTCTAACAAGTGTGTGCATAGACACTTCCAGTTTCGCCTGATGCCGGTGCAGAGAGACAGAGAAAGCCAAAAATTTTCTCACATAATATCACTTCAAAAACTTAGGTATGCTTGCGTCAGGTGAATGAATGAAATAATCAGAAAACTGTCTTGGACTCATGGTGTACATGCTATCAGAAATGTCCTACTTCCCACTTCTGAAGCCATGATTACCAGCTCGTCACGTTCACATGTTTTGTTGTCGGAAAGAATAGAAATAATCCCAGATAGCAACATTGTTTAGTTCCAGATCTGGCCGACAAACTGAATGATGGCACTTGTGCTGTGTTCATCTGACCTTGACTTTTATATTTTTGTTTTCTATGGCTGCTATAACTGTTTATAAAACACGTCTGCAGTAGCAAAAAAGCCAAGACTAAATGTGATCAGGTGATGATGGCTAATTATTGATTGTAATATAAGCATCATGAAGTGGTCTAATTCACTGATCTCATCTGAATCCTAAATACTGATCATAAGTGTGTTGTTTCATTAATTTTGCACTTCCAACCCTGTGATACTGCAGCATGAAAGCCAGTAGTGTTGCACCAATCAGGTATTATGGATTTTTAAAAACATGTTCTGCACAAAAAAGTTTTGAACTACTATATTATTTAGACACACAGAAATCAACATGCAGCATATGAATCATCATATGAACAATGGTGACATTAAGAAAAAACTCAAAGTCCAGTTGAAAATTCCTTGAACCTCTTTATTTATTTATTTTTGTGATACTGATATCTTACAGTGTTCCATGACGTCATGAGACATCTACAAACAAGCAGCTCCTCAGATCCCATATCTCTGCTAGATGTCGTCTTTGCCATTTAGTGGAATGTGAGGGATCTTTAAGATAACAGCATTCCTGGCCCCCAAGAGTACATGAAATGAAAGCTTGATTTTTATTTATTTATTTATTTATGTGTGTGTGTGTGTGTGTGTGTGTGACCTGGATGATTGTAACCACTATAAGTTCGTCTGCCTTGTGAAAACTAGCGCGTCTCCGACATAGTGATAACACTCGTTGCCTTCTCTAGTGCAGCTCAACCAGGTCTCGTCCCATTCGTCGGTATTTGTGATATCACAAATCCCGGAAATTATGCGTTGTAGTCCAAACGAGTCGTCCGTTGTAGTTTTTGAAAAGTGATTTCTGTTCAATAAAATATCTCCTTTTGAATTGGACTTTGAGCTTTGTAACTTTGCAGATCTTTTTTTTGTTCAAACAGCAACATTACAGACTAACTAAAGTTGAAAAAGTGAATAAGCATAATAGGACCCCTTTAAGAAAAAGAATCTAAACTAAACTAGGCTATGTCACGAGCTAGTTAATTAACAGCCTAGGAAGCATATCTTCTTGTTTTAAGGAAGTTCATGTTTGATTAAACAGCCATCACATCTTACCTTTGGGGTCTTTGCTATTGTACTCCAATATAATTATGTCTGAATTAGCTATTTATAGATTAAGAGTTGTTGTTTTCGGTGTACAGATGGCCAGGGCTGGCGCTAGCTATAGGCAGAGCAGGCTTTAGGGCCTCGGGCTTTGAGAAGGGGCCTCCATAACCGTAACATCCCCTATATGCTAGTCCACCAGTCAAGACGGGTAGCAGATTCTAGCCTCATTGTTCATTGGATATAGTTGAAATTTCACTCATCTGCAATTAAACCAATTAATGTTGCAGTTTCAGTGCGGTCCCGCCTTCTGAATGTCTGGTGCTGCGAACTGTGCGATACAAACGTCTAAATAGGCACGCAAAGACAGCTCCTAATGGAGGTGTGTGAGTTGTCGTCATCTATGTTAGAGTGATTTCAATGTATTCTAAATATAAACTGTTTCTGTCGATCAGCGTCATTTCTGGAAAGATCATTCACCGCTTTAGTATGAGTTTAAAAAAGAAGGAGCACTGTTGATGTGCCGCTTTGAATTTGCATGTACAGTGAATGACATCACGTCGGGAGCTGACTTGCAAAATAGCTACAAAAGTAAAAGCAGATTAGTTTGTATTCAAAGTTAAAAAGCAAATGTAGTGGTTGGTAAAAATTAATGTGCTTAAAATGCATATGTCTATACGGGTAGAGAAAAAAGACACCTTAAAAAATTTTGGGTGGTATTTGCGCCTTAAAAACATTAATTATGTTATATAAATTGGTGTAAATTCATCATCTTAATTTTCATTCATCAGTTCACTGAGTGGAAAAGAATGCTTTGTTGCTGTTATGCTTGCCACCTGAAGAGGGCGCTTAACGCTATTGTTTCAAGGTAATGCAGCGGGCGAGTCAGAATCAATTAAATATTCACAAAGACTGCAGCCAGTACTCCTCTGTCTTACAGTGTCTCTTTTCATTATATTACAGTGCTGGCCAGAGTTATACATCTAACTTACCCACTCAGGCGTCCCAGACTTGAGGCGGGTAACAACTTGGGGGCTCGTCCGGGATCAGCGCCACTTGGTGCTCGGGTTCTGATCAGTAAAGAACCACAGTGGTTGAACGTCTTTCATCCCAGACCACTGAGTTTAACGGCAGACACCAGCAGTCCAGTCATGGCTACTCTTTGAGAATTACGGTGGGAGATCGAGAAGCAGCTCCACCTGCTGGTCAGTTCTTCGAACTGCAAAGCACTCTATAAAGTAGCCCTGTGTTGCGCGGAAGAGGAAGGAGAGATGGTCCCAGGCGTGGATGCAACAGAAGTGGAACTCTACGACTTCATCGCTGATTTCATGCAAGGAGAACAACTGCAGAGTCTAGAGGACCAAGGAATGGCCCGCTTGCTCACCCTTCATGACCTCGTTCGTGAGTTGACTGCTACGGAACAAGGTTTCGCTTCCAACGTCGAAGAAAACGAAGTGACTGTGGGACTGGTATCATAATCTGCATCGACATCAGTAGCTGCCAAGATGCAGGTAGCACAAACTACAGGTCTAACGTCACATGCAAGAGCTGAACAAACTGTTCCACTGCCTAGAGTGACTACAGCCAGTACCCCTCTGTCTTACAGCATCTCTTTTCATTATATTACAGTGCTGGCCAGAGTTATACATCTAACTTACCCACTCAGGCGTCCCAGACTTGAGGCGGGTAACACAAACACAATAGAACATTTTTTAAATGTTTCAAATAAAGGATCTCAGATGTGTGTATCTTCTAAATTCTGCTGATGATACTACATTACTGCTCTAAAATAACACTTATAATTTCAGTTTCAACTAACTAAAAAATAACTTTTTTTTCTGCTAGTCTTTCTCTTCCACTTGATTTGTGTGTGTGTGTGTGTGTGTGTGTATATATTTCATATTTAAGGGAACAATGCAATACGTAATATCATATTATTGATATTAATAATATGACAATATCTGTTGTCAATATTGATTAAATTGGAGGGGGAAATCCTGCCCTTACCGCAGCTAGGAAGAAAATGATAAAAGTACTTATGTTCATCTACTAAAGTGGTATTCTGGAACTGTGAATACATTGAATAAAACAGCAAAATAACAACAACAACAACATCTTCATCAAGCAAAAAAGAGATTACCTTAAATAAAGTCTGATTAATATGCATATACAGTACCGGTCAAAAGTTGGACCCATTACTATTTGATCAAAAATACAGAAAAAAACCCCCAGTAATATTCAGCAAGAATGTGTTAAATAGATAAAAAAAAGTGTTCGTAAAAACATATTGTTATAAAAGATTTGTATATATATAAAAAAAAATTAAACAACTTCTTAATAAACAACAAATCCTGAAAAAGTATCACAGGTTATAAAATAAACATTAAGCACTGTTTCTAACAGTGATAATAAATCAGCATATTAGAATGATTTCTGTAGGATCACGTGACACTGGAGTAATGGCTGATGAAAATTCAACTTTGATCACAGAAATATATTTTAAATTATAGTAAAATAGAAAAACAGTATTTTAAATTGTAATAATATTTCACAATATTATTGTTTTTTTCCTGTGTTTTTGATCAAATAAATCCAGGCTTGATGAGCATAAGAGACTTTATTCAAAAACATAAAAAATAGCAATGTGTCCAAACTTTTGTACTGTATAAGTGAAAGATGCAAATTTTTAAATTGAATGTTGTATAAACAAAAAGATTAGGGATTATATTTGTTTCAAGTGCTTTTTTATTGGGGTGGGGGGCCTCAAACATGAATTTTGCCTAGGGCCTCCTATGTCTACAACCAGCCCTGCAGATGGCTTGCTGCTGTGTTCAATAATTTATGTTGTTAAAATAACATTCTGTTCCATCAACTATATGAAACTTCCCTAGGGGCAGGTTTTCAACAATCCCAGATCAATATATTTATATGGAAATCCCATGCCTTTTGTGAGATTTTTTTATTTATTTTTTGACAGACATACAGTTGCATTTCCTTAAAGTGGTTAACTTGTTGACAGTAAATGCATTGTCTGCTTATTTAGCTACTTTTCAGTACACCATATATGCCACTTAGTACTGTAAGACTTCAAATAAAATTCTGCTTAGGGCCCCATAAAGGCTTGGGTCAGCCCTGCATGTAATGATATTTATTGTGCAAAGAGCAACTGTTACATTCAGATCTGTTAATAAAAAGCATAAAAGTGTGCTTTTTATTAACAGTGTGAATCAACACAAAGTGTGTCAGATTGATTCAGATTGACTGCTATTCTGAATAAAAATAAATATGTTTCCGTGTAAAACTATTTTTGTATTAGCTGTACAATGAAAAAGTATGTAATTTGGCACTAACAGGATGAGAACCTACTAGCAGCACTGTGTGTGTGTGTGTGAGTGTGAGTGTTTACATGTTTGTTTTGCTTGTGTAAGGCAGACAACAGCAAGACGATGGGTTTGTTTAAAGAGCTGTTTAGATATTATGTTCAGCATTAAATTAGCTGTAAATAAAGAGAGAAAGAAAGAGGGAACAATCAACAACCTAGAAAACATTCTCACAACTTTAGTGAATATTCTGATTAGGTTTTCTCAAAGATATGAACAAACATTCTTCCAGTAACATTAATAAAACATTTGTTCAAAGTTATCTGAACTTTAAAAAGTTTCCGTTTCACAAAATGTTAGCATTGTTCATGGAGCGTTTATACCTGAATCATTTAGTTGGATGTTCAAATGTTACTACTTGATTCAGAAGTACAATTCCCATTATGTTTGAAGAATGGTGAAATAGAATGTTCCTTAATGTTCAGATAACCAAGAAAAAAAGATTTAAAAGATTTAAAAATGGGATATTTGAGTTCAGAAAGTTCATCTGAATTGAAACTAGCAACCAAACCTGCATTGCTGTTACTGTAGCCTATAAACAAACGAGGCTTGAAAGATAATTTCAAGACAAGGCTGTGCGTGTGAGACTTTTGCTTTCTCTCTTTTAGTTTCTTTGTAGATCAGAATGAGGATGTCCTGAAACAAAACCACAAAACAGACTGTACTTGTCCACTCGCCTGCTCATCTAGTCTGACAGCTTCACTTAGTTTCTATGAGTTTCTCCTCCCATCAGAACGTCAGTCAATATTACCTTTGTTATTGGTGGTTCTGTTGTCCTGCCGTGTTCCTCAGCTGAACATGATCTTAAAATTCAAGACATTAATGTACACTGGAGACACAACGGCAGCAAAATTGTATTTGATGTAATTCCACACAGTAATTCACCAGTGACACAGGATCCAGAGTACAAGAACAGAACTGAAACTTTCCCTCAGGAGTATCTGAGAGGAAACTTCTCCATCAAACTCAACCATCTTCAACACACTGATGCAGGACAATACATTTGCTATATCACACACTCATCTAAATATCAGACTGTACAGCTGATCATCAATGGTATGTGAAACTAGCTGATTAGTGCAGTTTTGAATTTAAACAAAGTTGTTTGTTTTAAAATCTAAATACTGCAAGTGATTGATTCAATATCTGAAGTTCACCAGTGATGCCCCAGTCTCAGTGCTGCTGTATATAAATGATAGATGGATCTTTTATCACAGTGAGGTAATGTTTTCTGTAAAAGGTTTTTTTCTTTTTTCTTTTTTCAGGATCAATATCCACTGAACAAGGAGAAACAGAACAGGACAGAATGGTGCCATCACTGCCTTTGCTCTTGGTTTGCATTATATTAGCTGTGTTATTTATATTGGTTGTTATTTTCATTGTAGTTTTCTTGAAAAAAAAGTGCTCAAGCAGCCAGAGGCCAGCTGGAAACGGCGTGGGTTCGGCCACTCCTGAGGTTGTGAGCCCTTCTGCACAATATGAACCAGTAAAGGTTGATAATCATGACGAAGCAGTTGGTAAATGAAAAACTGCACTTTCCTGCAGCAACTGCAT